AAAAATAAACAATATTACTGATCCTCATATATCAGCTAGGTGACAAATATGCGTTTTGTTGTCCCATTTCAGTCATAAAGGACTTTTCATTTGTTGCATATTTCGATCATTAAATGTTTTGGGTTGTACAGAACCGACTGGGAAAATCTGACAGTTCAGCGAAATCGAGGGGGCTGAATGTAACTAATGGCTATCATGCTGTCGGCGTTGAAGCAAAAACAGCAGGTATTGCATGGCGGACGGAAAACGATCGAAAAAAATGAAGTCGCTCTTTGCCTATGCATTCTGTTGAATTGTGATTTTTAATCCGATAGGAATAATTGCACTTTGAAACGACGAGGAGGAACCTCGGCCCAAAATTTCGCCATTTCCGAATTCGTACACTGAAAGGTAGCAGCAAGCATGCTTCGTTGTTTCTAATGGTCCGTTTGTGCTTTTCTGTTGTGCAAAGTTCTACTTGACATAGAGACGAGACAAAGCTGGATCAGCACAACAAGAAAAAGCCCACATCGTCGGGTTTCCTTGATCTGAAAAGAACGACGGAGTGTTTTTAATTTTATTGGCAATTCTAGCAGAAAATTAAGAAGCTAAATATGTTAACAACCGATCATTTATTAAAACCAAACCCCTAAGTTATTCAAACAGTAAATCCCATGGCTTCGTGCACAATTGGATATACAGTAGACACTAGAAGCCAGACGATGACGATGCACTGGGAAGTCGAAGTTGCCATTAGAAGAAAGTCTTCATCAAACGAAATACTGAGCGGCAGCCTCAGCTTGGTTTTCTTAGGATCCCACTCATTGGCAGATCAGTAGTGAGCCGCCTGGACATCGACCGCTGTCGGGCGATGGGGCACAGTTTTGATTAGCATTTGGCGACGGGCGGTCATTTGCAACGGTCGGCTGGCGCTTTGTCTGTGCGGCCGGTAAAACGACTATTAGCCGGCTGGCGATTAGCGTGGTCATTGTCCAAAGTGGCGACTGTTGACCACTGATTGAGCGATATGTTTGCGCAGCGACGAAACGTCATTGCGACTTGAATGTCGGTTGCGTTTTGGTTGACCGCAGGACGAACGGACATTGGCCACGCGTTCGTCATCGAAGCTGGACCCTACGGTGTCATTCGTCTTTCGCCTCATCATGCTTACTTCGACCGACTCGATGGCGAGTGTTCAACACTGACTAGTCTATCTGCGCCGTGTACGCACTTAGCGTAGTTTACTCGTATGTGCTGTCGTGCTTGACTGAGACTGCCAGACTGGTCGATCTCGAGATCCGCTTGGGAGTGCAGACGAGGACTATTCTCCTCATCGTCATCATCGTTTCCTCATTGGCAGCCAAAGTCATGCCTCTAGCACATACGGTAGTTGCATTAACGGCAGTGGTCGTTGCTGCGCGGATGTGCGAGTGCAGTTGGTGGTAAGTGCTTTGACGGCAGGACATTGATCCTCCTTGCTGTTCTTGCTCAACTCTTTACAGATGCCGTCATTCAGGTTACTAGCAATGCCAAGTGCCCATCAATTCACTCTGCACCTAAATC